ATAATTCTTCGTTTTTTTTAGATTCGGTTGGTCAAGGTCTGTTCTGCGAAGAAACTTCGATAGCCGCCGTGAAGAGAAGCCATGGCACGCGAATGAGCGCTGCCGGACCCGCAGTGTACTGACGCAGATCACATATATATATATACATATAAGTAAATAAAAAAAAACAGCAAAGCGCGTGGCTTACAAGGCGTGCCGCGCTATCTCTCATCAGAAAGCTCAACCAGTATCAAGGCTTCAGCGGCTGTTAATATTTGTATGTTTACACCCCGTTTGACCGGCTTTCGCTCAGCGAATCGTGCTTTTGCCGAATATAGAGGCGCTCAACGACAAAAGGCACAATCAAACAATTGAATCCACCCAGCCGGCGTGTTGAGTGATCATTTTTCGGGCGTTTGATAATAAGTTCGTGAGATAAATGACGGTAAGCGGCTTATATTTTATTTCATAGAGCTACTACTATCGGTGTTGACTCCGCAATCGTTTTCCGACCAAGTGCGGAGTAGCGATAAAAGTCGAGCAGATGCTGAATTGCCGCTTGTTCACACAATAGCCTCGTTGGTAACTCAGCTTTTTTTTTTTTTTTTTTCGCGTTCGATAGCTTGGAGGTTTTTGGAGACACGCACTCGCCAGCACATTTTCATATCGCTCGCGACTGTACATCTTGTCACAATTTTCTAAGGCATGCATCCCTAAGCGTCGCTCTGCCCCCCTTTTCTAGCCTCAAACCCGAAATTATGAAGCTTTCGGCACTGTACGATGGGCAGCCCGTCGCAGCTCGCAAATCGGCGATCGTTTGCCGCGCTTCATACAAATCACGCGGATGACGCGGTGTTTCTCGATGCAACGCAGCCGAACCCAATCAAAGGCGACCGCGTGTATGGGCCTATGTAACGTTTTTCCCCAGCTTCGTGTCTTTTCATCGTACAACGCGAATGTCCGGTACAGCTCGTCTGTTCGGGGCGACGCTCAGATCTTAGTTGCTTAGCACGAATAAATGTGGCAACGTCTCGTGACCAAAACCTGTGCGTGTCAAGCTAAGTCTGCCCGTTCGTTTCTGACCTTGTAATGCATTCTGTGCCCTTGACGACCAAAACACATATTGGCTGCAGAAAGTTTTGCAAAAGTCAACGAGGCGAGCAAGTTCTCCTACTCCCTGCGCAGAGGCCGAGGATACTTGGCATTCTTGGACGCGTTACTCGAAAAAAGTAATCGATTAAAATTGCCATTCTCATTGTTTAAAGAAATAAGTATTGAATTACTTGACTACTTGAGAGGGAAAGTAATTGGCCGTTACTTGAAAACTAACCGTTACCTTTCCTATAACATCATATTTTCAGATCGACAGATTTTTCAGTCCGTTTAAAAATGGGTCTTTCGTACATCCCAATCTTGGATTAGGATCACCAAACCATAAACTACTAATCGTCTTAATTCACCGATTTCGGTGTACCATCATTCCCTCAGAGACTTGTTTTGAAGATTACTTGGCAGAAAACGTTTATAGAAACAAAGGGTTCCACTAAAACGGGAAGGAAAAAAAAATAGTAACGTTTACGATTAATTTCAGTACTTCCACATATTATCATATTACTCTTCTGATTACTTTATAAAAAAAATGTATTCAAATGAATACAAAATTACTCAAATAAGTATCGACTACAAGTAATTTCATTACTTGTAATGAGTAGCGTACAGGTGTTGATACGGTTACGTCATGGCGGCGAGCTCCTATTGGCGGAGATGGTGGGTATAGACAAATGTGCCGTATAGCCTCAGGGCATCGTGCAGCCGAGCTCCGGCGTCATCCGCGAGTATATATGTATGCAATAAGTATGCGGAGTTCAAGTTCGTCTGCTTCTTGAGCAGGGGTTGCGGTGACGTCTGAATGACGCCGACTTCTGATTGGCTTTGATCGGAAAGATAGTGGGCAGACCTCAATGCTAGATGCCTTCGCGTCTACCCACTATATTTCTTTTGCATCATCCAGTAAGAGTTTGGCATTCTGACATCATCGCAGCCCCTGTGCAAGAAGCAGACGACTTGCTCCCCGTATAGGCTCTTTGGTGAACGAAACCCGCGGTCGCACTGGCGATACACCATACAGTCTGCAGACGCTGTGTTTGAAGCTGTCTGTCACACATTTCATAATGTAAACATGTTTAGGACATGCGTCATGTCTGCAGCGTTCCGCCTCAACTATTTTGTCTGCTTCCTCTACCCGTGCGCGATAGGACGCGTTCAGATCAACTTGTACGGAGTATGGAGCGTTTTCCCGAGTTCGTCGCCATTTTTTGTTTTTGTTTTTGTTTGTATTGTTTTAGCACGCGAACGATACGCAATATTAATTGGCTTTCTTTGGCCGCTAGAAAGTGTTCTTATTTAACGATGGAACGTGCCGCTCCCACTTCTTCGGTTTCGGAATCAGCTATCATTTGTTTTACATGTCAACATAATAAGCGTATCCGCTCAATTTCTGTCACCCGTCTCTATTACAAGTATGAAATTTCGAAAAAATTTTCACTGTTACCAAAGTAGCAACAAACTGCGTGTAAACTTGTGGCTTGGAAAGTGTTTGAGTTTCCTGATGGCGTGGGAAAGGCCCGAGTGGGTTCAGTGAAGCGCTAAAAGTTAGTTCGGCCGTTCGTCGTAATATTGCCTGTACGGTAATGAGGGCCAATTAATGGCGGGCTTCAGAAACATGCCTTAAGCATTTAGAATGTCCTGTGCGGCCTCGCTGGTAAACCTCGGTTCGATAAGCCCGAAAAACCGTGGCTGGTGGTTGCGCGGACGGCGAATCTCAGAAAGCCCGGCGATTCGGGATAAACATTCGGGCGGCGTAAACTCTCGCGCATTCCGCTCTTATTTTTCGTCGAAGCATCCGAAGTTTTCGGGCAACCGATTACTCAAGCGCCGGCTCGTCTCGACTTCGAATCACAGCCCTTATCCTTGAGTCTGGAACTTCATTCAGAAGAAGTTCATTGTTTTTAACGCTGAAAGTTGCTGGCGTTGTGAAGTCCAGAAACTTCCAATGTTTAAACGTTCTGTTCCCTAACAACACCAGAAACTTCCAATCTTAGAGGTGTCTAATGCGGACCTAAACAGAAATCCGCTTATATTGTGCAAACACAGATAGATGCTCGACAAATGTTCCGAAGGCATCCGTGCGAAAAACGTCGTTTTAGAGCTTTCTCCGGGACCGCCTCTTCTCTTCGTCGCAACACCATTTCTCCGTCTTCTTGCAGAGACGAATTCCTCTTAGTCACACACAGATCTCAAAAGTTTTGAATTCCTATTACATCTCAAAATCAAAGCACATCTCGGGTGTAAATTATACAACGCGGTGCCCGTCCCAAAACGGATATCAAATAGAGGAAGTTGAGAAAAACTTTCCTGTCTAAGGCAACGTCGAGGAGATTTTTCAAACACTTTATTCCAAAGAAAAGAAAATTTCTTCGCCGAACACCATGCCGGAAAACTCCGAGAAACAAATGAAATGGAAACGGAAACCTCCCTTGAGAACCAGGGAGCGCGGATGGCACTCTTCCGCCATCCCATCCCTTCTGTTTTGCTTTCGTGCGTGTCGCTGCTGTATGTTTGATTTGTGAGAAGAAATAATCATATTTTCGATTGAGAACTTCAGCGGCCTCCCCTGGGATCCCCCACAGTGTGCGCTTTGAGCAATAAAATTAAAATTATAAATTTCACGCATCGTCCTTTCAACGTCACGCCGATTACTCACGGCACCGAGTGACTGTTTTTCCTCTATGATTGTAATTTACTGCACCATGTGACCTTGTGAGTAATCTCTCATTGTGTGGGTTCTTATTATTGCTATGAGCTTGCGTACATTTGAATGGCTTATTTATTATTCACAGATTTCATATTTGTAGTTTGAGCCCATCGAGCATTCTATCCATTCCATCATTTTGAAGTAGCCTGTACCAGAATGTCGGAACGAATTATTGACTTCATCAAATAAACACCGAATTGGGTCTGTTTTGTCATATCTCAGGCGGGGCTCGTACTTTAAACATAAACTTTCCTCTACGTTCCTTGCAGAACAAAGGCGCAGTCAATAATTGCGAGCGACATACGAAGGAAGTTTAGCAAATTATGTGACCAAAGTACCGCATCGAAGTAAGCCCTGCGTCTGCGGTAGACAAGACATGGCGCGGTCAATTGAACAAAAGGTACTGGCACATCAGAGACTAAAGAACAACCTTCACAAACATAATTCGGAGTTTCGTGGCTCTCCGTCCCTTTTTTGACCCCTCGCTCCAGGGTTACTATTTTTAAAATTGCCATAGTTATTTTTTTTTTATGGGTACGTTTGTTCTTTTGTTTTGTTCTTTTGGCAGGCGGAAAGCACGGCGTTTTTCGGCTGTACCGGATCGTTTCCAAACATTTTTTCTTCTTTTTGTACTGAACTTGTGAAACATTTATGCCTGCCCTTGGATGTGGTTTATCACGAAAACCGCCTCATTTTAGTCACATTACGGAAGCTTTATAATCGTTTAAAACTGGTCGGAATGCGACTAATAAACACAAAACTGTACCGTAAAAAAAAAAAAAAAAAGTTGTGCACGCGAGAAAACATTAGCGCGTGTGGCCGTAAAGTAAAGCCTGAAAACGTTGCTTTTTTGTCTTTATTTTGTTAGAGTTTATTAGATCGCATTAATGAGCTTTCCGGGTGCCCGCGGTGCATACGCCCTTCCATTAAATACTCATTCACAACTTAAGAAACGTAAGGCGTGGCCAGTCCTGAGCATATTATTATCATATCATATATTATCATTGTTATCAACGCCGTACCGACGAATGACGGGCCAAGGTGGATGAAGACAATAAACCACGCCCTGCATTGTTAAAGCCCTCAGTGAAACATATAAATGCTTTAATATAATAAGCCATACCCTGCATATCTTAATCTGTCGGTAAAAACAAAAAAAAAGTCTTAAGAGTGTGTTGAACTTATTCTTCGTGTTGCTTGCGTGCAGGTTCCATGGGCAACATCGACGACGGCACGTACCGCTGCTCGGACGGCTCGACGCCCGAGCAGGTGAAGCAGAAAATGATCTCGGGGGTCCTGGGCGCTGCCTCGTCCGTCACCTCTATCCAGGTGGCCAACCTTCTCAGGCTCTTCAAGATCCCGCAGGTGGGCCTAGCTCTTTGTCACGTGATTTACGTGCCGCCTGTACACCGCGCGGAGCGATATACACGCAGAATGCAGTCACATAACCCTACCGAAAAAAAACCGGTATAACTTTCACTGTCTGGATTACAGTGGAGCTCAAAATCTGTTTCTGTAAACCCGGGATCCAGATTGCAAACAAAGGAATAACTTCCGAAAACTTGAAATCCAGATATAATCCAGATAGATATCCATTTCTGTAGTTCATAACGAAACGTTTTACTAGGTTTCTCGATAGTGCTCTCGAAGTGTTCGATTAGCTCGCTGAACTACTTGTCGTTCCTCTGAAAGAGACCGTCTGGCACAGTGGAAGGGGCAGACGACGTTTCGTTCTCCAGCCTGGCCTACAGGACGGTTTCACGAAACGCCTTTTCATTTTGGGCATGCCGCGTTCCGCCATGTTGTTGAACAGCACATGCTACATTCCCCATTGGTTTGCTTAAAGTCAACCAGTCATTGGCATCGTTTTGGGAGTTTCTAAAACGGGAAAGCTCGGTGAGTGACTCCCTTGATGACAGAACTCGAACATTACTACTCGGGAGGGTTTTGGGCCACAGAAACCTATGTTTACTTAGTTTTTTGTTTCGAGTCACCCAGAGATATCTACATTTTGACTACCGATGGGTCCGCTTTTGTTTCGCCGTCTCGTCATGGTCCCGTATAAAGACCGGAATGCACAAAAATTACGGTACCGGGCGACACTCATTTATGTAAGCGACTATAGTCTAACTGGCGCAATCAACGACAAAATAACCTTAGTGAGGTAAAAAAAAAAAAAAGATTTCATCGTTAAGAAAGACATAGGACGAAAGTTAATAATGGAGTCCGGCGAGATTTCAAGCTAGATGTATACGTGAGTTGAAGCTGTCCCGTCACCGCTGTTTGCTTAAGAGTTTTTAGTTTTTTAAGACCCAAGAAAAGTTAGTTCTCTGACAGTAAAAGGTCGGCTGCAACTGGAAAAAATCTCAAGCTGAAAAGTGACGCGTCATCTGCACGCGGAGAAAGGAGGGGTGCAAGTGAGGGCGAAACTAGCGTGCGATTGGCCCAGTTGGCAGGCACGTGCGCCCTTCATTGCCGCCATCGATTAAAGGGAAAGAGAAAAAGTTAAACGACACTTCCGGTTTCAAGACATCCAAAAAAATGTCCAAATGTCCATTTGGACATCTACGTCATTGATTGAAGCGATAATGTTTTTTTTTTCGTTTTTTTTTTTTCTTCTGTAAATACGCCGTTCTCAAGATTATACGTATTTTAGGAAAATTGTCGTTCGTGGGAATACCAAAGATATCGATGCTGGGTGGATGGCAAGGCTCACGTTTTCCGCTCTAAAACTGGCCCCAATCTTTGTCGGATAACGATTTTAGTTATGTATTCTCGTTGACTCTTAATATGCGATGTGTCGCGGGTTTTTAAAAAGTAATTCATTGTTATGTGCAAGCATGTCGCACTTGTTTCTTTATAACAGTTTTGTATCTTGCTTGTGCCGTAATTGCTGCAGATTATTGCGGATCCATGCAGCTTGAAGATGTGTACGTGCTACGCGAGAAGAGGGTCGGCGATAACAAAACCGTCCTATTAGAAGACGATCTAAGCTGAGTGCAAACCATACTGAACACGTTCGAAGTAAGTTTCTCTAGGAGTGTAATTAATGTGATCAGATTTATAAATATTTACTTGGCTACCTTGTGTCAAACGTCGCTCTACATTGACCACTAGAAAAAAAACAGTGATGCCTGTGAAGCTGTTTTTTTTCTCAATTAACCGAAAAAACTTTGCATGCGTCCATAGTGTGGCTGCCCCTGAAGCATATGCTATTGATGGCGAGGTGTTTGGAAGAAAAAATAATCGTGTTTTTTTCATCGCAAAAATGAACTGCGCATCACCGAACGCTCAGTGTCGGTCGGCATGTATTAGCGAAGTGCGCGACCAAAAGTGTCGCTGACCTTTTGACAGCTACTTTTGTCAAACGAGCAAACTAAGCAGCAGTTAGAAACGGTGGAGCTCCGCAGAAAAAAAAGTGTATATTCTTACACCCTATGTCACATCTAAGACACCCCAAAACTTCCGCTGGACGCACAGCGCACTGAAGTTGAACCGACGCTACCAACTTTCACGAGCGTCTTGATAGCCGAGTTGTACAACTTATAAAAATACCGTAGCTAATGTACGTGCAACTAAATGCAAAAAAAAAAAAAGAAGTTAACGGGAGTTTTTTTTTTTTTTTGTTTATTTTACTGCAAAACCTCAGTGTTCTTTTTTTTCTGTAGTCTTTGATACGTGCTTTATCTTTTTAATAGGTTATATCCCACCGGCATCAAGCCTCTCATAAAAGTTGGGGCCGTCAGTTCGACGTCGGTACGCTGTACGTCGAACTCAAGTTTTGGGGTGCCGTATATGTGACAAGGAGTGTAATGGCTACACCCTTTTTTTTATTAGAGTTCGGAGCAGTGCCAGCAGTGCTATGTACAGTGGTCCAATTTTTTAATATTACCAAGCCAGCGGCGACCGCTGGCCCGGCCAGCGTCGTCCCGTGGAGGGGTGCGGCGACATGGGAGAGATTAGGGGCGTGCGCACAAAGCTCTTTCCGGTGCGACCGTCGTGTGCTAGGCTATTCCGTTCACCGCACACAACCCCTGCTTCTTATCTGCTGGCAGAGCTAACCGCCTTTGAGCAAAGATCTCAATAGCGCTTGCTTGCGTGATACTCCTCATGCGTAGCATAAACCGCGCGTCATTGCACCAGCACTGTTTATGGCGCGCAAAACGAGTGTCACGCCAACGCGCGCTCTTCAGACATTTGCTCTACCAACAGATAAGAAAAGCAGAGAGAGAGAGAGAAAGAGAAGTGGGCGTTGAATACAAAATATTGTCAATCAAAGCCCCGCGCTCTTTTGCTACGCGGGACAGGGGCTGTGTGCTGTCAATGGGAGTTTTAGCAGGTCGTTTCCACACGAACGGTTCGCCCTCGAACGCATCCGCGACGCCACTGCGCATGCGCGCGCGAGTCGTTCGGGGAGTCGGGAGGGTCTTCTCGTTCGTTTCTCCCATTCCGGCCGCTGGAGTCGTCACCGCAACGCAGCCAGCACCGTTCACGACTCGGGTAAAAAAAAGATGGCGGTCGGTTCGGCGACCGCCTTCGCTGACCCAGCCGAGCGTTAGGCTTAGGACAGCGGGAGGCGATTTGCCGTCCTGTTTAAGTCTGCTTCATTTGAGAGGTTGAATCAATTCATTTCGAGGACTGCTCACAATGGTAAGCGATCGTGAATGCTGTAAACGGCCCATGCTAGTAAAGTTTTGCGATCTGCCGGGCAGACTAGCTGCCGTGGCGACCGCGAGCAGACGAAATTATTTAGTTCGACGGCACACAACGTGAACGATCGTTCAAGTTCAAGATGACGGAGACACACCACATACCTTTACGGTCGTTCAGACACTTTTTAGTCTATCTAGCTTCGCAGTTCTTGAAATTCCGACCGGCAAATGTTACGCCGGTCGTCTTGTTTACATCAGTCGTACGCCGGAAACACGAGCCGCCACGGATTTACACGTTGCAGAATGTTTCACACGCTTGCTAGAAGGTGGCGCCACCGTTAAGCATGATCAGCATCATCGTTTACACGGTCGCGCCACTTTCACGATTCGCTAAAGTATGTCGAATTTGACGTACGGTTTCACGGAACGGACCAGCTGTACCGTTCGTGATTTCGGAACCGTGTGCTTGAAAAACGACTCGCTAAAACTCCGTAATGGCATAGCCTAGCAGACAAAGCTCGCACCGGAGAGAACTTTGTGTGCACGCCCCTAATCTCTCCCGTGTCGCCGCGTCGATCCGCGGCACGGAGCTGGCTGGCCCGGCTGTCGATGCTCGCTTCATATTATTAAAACATTGGTTCACTATACATTTCCGATAACATGGCCATCTCTCAACTCTGCAACCCGAATTCCAACAGGTGCCACCGACGATCGCCGTGGTTTTGTACTTGCACGTGTCGCCAACATCGACACTGCTTTGCGCTGTAACCGAAGACTGGAACCGTCCGCTCGTCAATGACACCATGTCTTTCGCGTACCTGTGATGCAACAGCAAGACGATATGACGCATGATATCGCAGGTTGGCATCCTGCTTTACATTAATTTTTTTTTCTTTTTTAGAGATCGCTCGAGCCATTACGTGCAATCGATCGACATGCGGGTGATGTTGGAACACTTGTGAACCGTAGCCCCTTTCGTACACGCCAATGTAACTGTCACCCGCAGTGTCATGTTGTTCCCTCCTCAAAAGCGTAGCGCACTCGGAAAAGGGCTCAACAAACTTGAAATATGACGAAAAGTACGTATATCTACAGTTTCGTATATCAACATTAAACGAGGTCACACTGAAGGACGGATCTGGTATAGTAATATTTTTTGTTTGTCTTATAGCCGGATAATTTTCAGTCGACAGTATACCCTGTGGCCGAGAAGCTCATTTTCGAACTCATTACGGCGTTGCTAGCCGTACACAATATCTGCCGAAAAGCACAGCTTTATCCGTATTCATGTTGGCAGAAAGGCGAATTCTCTGCTATGAAACACCGCTTCCAACTGAGCGAATACCTCCTTTGCAGAAATTAACTGTAAAAGACTATTACAGCCGCACACGAACGGCTCAAAAACTAAAAACAAATGCTATGATAGAAAAGCTTGCATCCCTCGTACTGTTCTACGACGTGCTTTGCTTGGAGGCGAAAACATGGCTGCTAGGAACAGCGGTTCAATGAATTGTTTTATTGGCAGTCGCAAACAATTACGGCACGAACATTTACTTTTTTCTAAGAGACTGATTCCTTGGGTCTTTGCAAATACCTTATGAGGAATGACACTACTGAGAAGAAATCAACATACTGGGAGCATTATGTAGTGCTTAAATAATCATCGAGGAAATCTGTACCTTCAAAACGACGAGTATAAAAGGTGGAAGTGCA